ATTGCTTATGGCCATTTGACTGAGGATGAAAAGACTGAAGGCTGGATTACCTATGGCACTAGTACTGGTGAAAAATAAGCTGTGTAGCATTACAGTCTATCTCAAGGTTGGCCATGAAAAATAACTAAAGGAAAATTCTCTTCAGCCATCATGCTTGGTAGAAGGCTGGCCTGATGTCATGATTTACACTGATTTCTGAGAAGTAGCAAAAGATTTGTATAAATAGCCACAGATTCGAAAGGAGAGAAGATGGAGGAGGCGAAGAACAGCTGGGGAAATTGTACAGGTAATCTGGAATCGATCTAGGCCTGAACATATGTTAAATGGATGCTTACCAGAGTTTCCCTACCAGCNAGACTGAAGGCTGGATTACCTATGGCACTAGTACTGGTGAAAAATAAGCTGTGTAGCATTACAGTCTATCTCAAGGTTGGCCATGAAAAATAACTAAAGGAAAATTCTCTTCAGCCATCATGCTTGGTAGAAGGCTGGCCTGATGTCATGATTTACACTGATTTCTGAGAAGTAGCAAAAGATTTGTATAAATAGCCACAGATTCGAAAGGAGAGAAATTGGAGGAGGCGAAGAACAGCTGGGGAAATTGTACAGGTAATCTGGAATCGATCTAGGCCTGAACATACGTTAAATGGATGCTTACCAGAGTTTCCCTACCAGGGGTTTTGGTGGGTGAATCAGGTAATAAACAGTGTGAGTTAACTTTGGCTATCATAGTTTGTGGTTGTCAGTAAGTCTTCTTTCTATCTTGTCTAGTAGCTGCTCAACAAGGTTAATGAATAAGGAAGTGGCTGTGGCAGGGATGGAGGTCATGCATGGGTCCAGCAGCCTAAATTTCCTCCACTAAAGCCACTTTGAATCCCTTTGATTGTTTTGAAGCGGGATCTTCCATTTGGGCACTGTCATGGGGTGCCCGTCAACCACTTGGTATCAAGTGGACAACTTTGATCTTTTTCTGGTGGGGAGAGGACAATATTTGTTTTCTCTGAGTTAACCAACTATAGATTGCATTTCCTTTTGTGTCTAATATGCTTCAGCAAGTACTGCTATCTACAGGCTTATTGAGTATTTTATTCACTGTCATGAAATGCTGTGCAGCAATGCTTCCAACCATGGAATTTATTTCTAAATGAAGAAAAGAAAGATAAAAAGTACATACAGCATCAATAAGTTTATCATGCCTTATTATTCGCAGATGGTAAACCCTACAGTTTGGCCTGCTGAGCACTCCACCAGCTGAGGGATACTACCTTATGAGGTTGGTACGCTGATGTCAGGATGTAATGGATTATCTGGACCAGAAATCAACATTTATATTACCTCTCATGCTATAAGCCTCCTAGCTAGCCTTTTGGGGTTTCTCATAGCTCTAAAGCAGCCATCCTAAGCAGAAAACCTTGTCATTATATTGTCTTAGGTGATCGGTTCTGGCTATCAAGGGAAAATAGAGTGGCTACCACACAGTAAGGGCTGAAATGTAGGAGTATCGTTGATACTGTGCTCTACCATTCCCTGAGGTAAAAGGTATTAAAACACTCCTAAAACTGCACCCATTTGGATTTTCAAGGGCTCGAACCCCTCATAGTTCTTCCCACTGACCACCTCTAGTATGTATTAGGAGGAAGAAAAACCTGGAACCATTAACAAACATGGAGAAAATTCAAATGGCCAAAGACTGACTGTAGATGAGAGATTTGTAATATCCACCTTTAAGGATATATTGTCCACCTTTTGGTGGCAATTACCAATAAACTAACATGACAATATTTTTCCCTACAATTGAACACACAATGTTTGATGATAGTTAAATTGACCACTGATAGAGTTTTGATGTGTTGTTCCCCCAAAACTCATGTGGAACTCTGATCCCCTATGTAGCAGTGTTGAGAGCTCTTTGAGTCATGGAGGTATATCCGTCTTGAATGGATTAATGCTCTCCTTGGAGCGTGGGGGTAGTGAGTGAGTTCTTGCTCTGTTAGTTCTCATGAGAGCTGGTTGTTTAAAAGACCCTGGCACCTCCCCTCTCTCTCGCTTCCTCTCACCTTGTGTAGAAGCCATGAGTAGAAGCAGCCTGAGGCCTGACCCAGATGCAGCTGTCCCAGAATCATGAGCCAAATAAACCTCTGTTCTTTATAAATTGCCCAGTCTCAGGTGTTCTGTTATAGCAACACAAAATGGACTAATACAATCATTAGTCTAAGTGATGTAGAAAGGTGAGGCATAGTACATAAATGGGTTATAATAAAGTGGGTTTGCCTTCATGTTGGGAAGGGGATAAGAGTGTTAAGTTACATATGTTTTACATATGTAAATTATGTTTTACAAGGCACATTTGGATACATATGCACAGGAAGGATGTGTATGAGGCAGCGAAGTGGTGGAATGTACTGAAAATGATTATCACAGCATCAGTCAACCTCAACTTCTCCTTTGAGATAACTACTTCACGACTATACAAAATACAAGCAGAGGAGTGGGTTAGGGGGAGAATGATATTTTGTTTGGTTTGGGTCTTGCTGTGTAAACTGTGGCACCTATAGAATATCCAGTGAGAGATGTTAAGTTCAAATTGGTATCAATATGTCTGGAATTCAGAGAAGAGATCAGATTTGGTGATATAGATTGGAAACCCTCAGTGTGAATACATCTACATCTACTCGTGTTCATTAAATCAGCCAAGGAGCCTGAGTAAAATGAGAAGAGGAACAGTATGCAATTAGAAAACTAAAATTTAAAGAATTGGCAGAAGTAAAGCTGTCAACAAAATGGAGGCATGATAATTTAAAATGATGCCACAGAAACAGCAAGAAAAACAGTTCAAGAGAAGAGAAGTAGAAGTGATTTCAGACCCTGCAGAAAGAACTGCACAGAGGTCACTCATGTCCTAGCAGAGGGAGGTGCAGTAGAATGAAAGGGGTGAAGCACTGGCGTAGAGAAGTGGGAAGAGAGAATGAAGACTACGTTTTCAGTAAATGAAGGGAAGGAACAAAACAGGATAATGGCCTGAGGACATGAAGGGTAGAAAAAGAGTATTTTGGAGAGTATTGCTATGACTCAGTTTCTCTTTGACCTGCAGGATTC